TCAAAAAATTAAATTTACTAAAAATAAACAGAGAAAATAATAAATATCAACTATTTTATTAATTACTATATATATTAGTTAATAATTATAATTATTAACTATTTTTATTGGTCAAATTATACAGAATTGATATTTTTAAAATAAAATTTTATAATTTTGGTGATTTTAACATTTTTATTAGTGGTTATAACCATACCCATTAAAAAAACGTACTTAATATTACTTCTTTTATAAAAAGAAGTTTTTCAATATATACTTTAAAGATATGTAAGAGTACAAATTAAAGATATAATTAATATTAATTGATATTAAAAATAAAAAAGACTAACATTAATTTCATTAATAATGACAGATGTATTATTTTAATTAGATAATAAATTAAATTAAAATTAACTTTTTATAATAATAATTAATATAATAAAAAATGCTTAATTTACAGATTAAAAATACCCTGAGAAAAGAGCCTTACGGTGGTGGCGGGATTGTGGAGATATTAATTAGAGGCTGTATTGAGGTCTGCCCTCACTTTTATATGCGTGCGGTCAGAACCGTCAAAGCTGGAAATAAAGTGGGGCAAAAGGTACCGTTTGCCCTTTAACTTTTTGAATTTGAGGGTTTTTACCTTTCATATTACAATACATGGATTTTTACCCTTAATATTTTGAGTTTGAGGAAATGAGGCAAAATTTAACACCAAAACGTCACGTGTAGCATGTGCACCGTTGGCCTCTATCAAGTATGCACATGTCAACGCCAACTCAGACTTTTTTGACAACTTGGCATGCCAACTTGGAACCCCATGAGCGGGAAGTCTACCTGTTACCAATTTTATTTGTGGGTCCCATTGCTGATAAAGGTTTGAAAAAAAAAGTTAAATCCTCAATTCAGTCCCTTAACTTTCATTTTTTAACTAAATTTACCCTCGAACTTCAAAATATTGTGACTTGACACCAAAAATATAATTTAATAAATAAAAATTTCTTTTTTCTCTTTTTTCTTTCCTTTCCTTTTTTTTTTTTTCTCCTTCTCTTTCCTTCTCTCCTTCCCCTCCCTACTGGGTTCGAAGGAACCCAGCACCAACGCCTAGTTTCCTTCGAAGGATTTCAAGACAACCATCAATGCCCAACTTACTTAAAACTCAAGCTTCTTAGTGTTGAAACCCAAGTTGGGTTGATAATGATTATGCAAAAAGTTTTAATCTTGAGTCTCAGAAATGAAACTCCAGACGAGGGAGGGTAGCCCTTTGCTAGTTGCTAACATATTATGCTTGGATCTGAGCTGAAGAAAAGGCAAGCAGACAGACATTTATATAAAACTCAGAATCACTAATTAAGAACATACAATTCAAGAGAAGGAAGGGTCATGCAAGGCCTAAATCCATACCCAAAAAAAGTGAATAGTAGAAAAATCAACACAATATCTAAAATAAGGGGATGGAATTTGAAAAATTAGCGAACTTTGATTTCCCCATAAGAAAAGGAGTGAGTGAGTAGCTAATTGCAGTGATGGAACAAGGTAAATCATGAAATCTTGAAAATTTGTAACAGGGAAAAGGAAGAAATTGCAGGAGAAGATACTGAAAATCTGGTTGCATATAAGGATGATTACCTCTTTGGCCCGCATCACTGTCCTTGCGTTTAAGTATCTTCCTCGAACCCAGGCCCGGGTTCCTCGAACCCAGGCGTGCTGGGTTCGCCTGGTTCCCTGAACCCAGGCCCTGGGTTCCTTCGAAGGAACCCAGCACCTGGGTTCGAGGAACCCGCGCCTGGGTTTGAGGAACCCAGGCGCTGGTGTTGTGTTCCTTCGAACCCAGTAGGGAGGGGAAGGAGAAAAGGAAAGAGAAGGAGAAAAAAAAAAAAGGAAAGGAAAGAAAAAAGAAAAAAAAGAAATTTTTATTTATTAAATTATATTTTTGGTGCCAAGTCACAATATTTTGAAGTTCGAAGGTAAATTTAGTTCAAAAATGAAAGTTGAGGGACTGAATCGAGGATTTAACATTTTTTTAAACCTTTAATAAGCGGTTGAGCCCACAAATAAAATTGGTAGCAGGTAGACTTCCTGCTCATGGGGTTCTAAGTTAGCATGTCAAGTTGTCAAAAAAGTCTGAGTTGGTGCTGACATGTGCATATTTGACGGAGGCCAACGGTGCACGTGCTACACGTGATGCTCCGGTGTTAAATTTTGCCTCATTTCCTCAAACTCGAAAATATTGAGGGTAAAAATCTATGTATTGTAATATGGAAGGTAAAAACCCTCAAATTTGAAAAATTAAAAGGCAAATAGGTACCTTTTGCCAATAAAGTGGCGGAATGACCAAATCTATACTCAAAATCAGGCAATGAGATGTATTCACCTTTAAAGAAAAGATATAGTTAAATTTACTTATAAAATTTTTTATTTAAATAAATTATTTTCAATTTAATATATGATATTATATGACATTAGTAATTTATTAAAAATAAAATTATTAATGACATAATAAATTAATAAATTATTGACATTACACATTAAATTTAAAATAAATTATCTCAATAAAAAGTGTGATAAGTGGATTTGTCTCTATTTTTTATTTAAGGTGGATCTAATTGCCTAATTTTAGAGATAGATTTGGATATTTTGCTAAATAAAGTGAGTTTGCATTTAGATCAACTCCTAAAATAAGATACTTTTTTTTATTATTTTTAGTCAATTTAGTTTCATTTTTTGAATATAAATTTTAGATAAAAATTTAATAATTTATATGAATAATACTTAAAATTTTTTTTCCTATATAAAATTCTCATTGAGTATTTTAATTTGATAAAAAAAATGTTTAATTATCATTAATATTATATATTAATTTTTATCTAAAATTTATATTCAAAAAGTCAAAAAATTAAAATGAATTGAGTTAGTAATGTATATTTCGA